GCTCTTTCTCAGCGTTGCAGCAGAACATCAACTTGGTACAATGCTCATGAAAAAGTCTCCTTTCGCGGACCTTCTCGCGCCCTGCTTTCGGACTTGGCCCAAGACATGATTCAGAAACACAGTACTAAACTTGGGCACACTTTGGCCCTTGCTTCAAGCCCACTTGGCTTCAACTCTCAAGTTCTCTGAACCACTGACACTTTACTGAGGCAGCTAACACTTTACTCTGAGGCTCACTTCAAGTTGGCCCTACCCTTCGCCAACGTCTTCAACAGGCCACCYGTCGTGGCACGCACAACTGCAACAAGCCTTTTCTCAGACCACTTGCTGTGGTAAGTAMGCAAACTGCACAAGGCTTCTATTACGCCACCCTTCAGGGYAACGTTCTCRTGCCGCCTCTTGCGACAAACGGACAACACCGACGGCTGCYTTTATGCCACCTTCGTGTGGCAAATACGCTGCACGACTCTTCGCTGCCTGCRGCTTCCTACGAACATAATCGCACCAGACTAACGCTCCTTCTTGAGCAACTACTGGCCTCTTGAACTTTTCTGCGAAGTCGTTCACTCTAAACTCGTCATGCAACTTGGCCCATTCTCTTGGGCGCACTTGCAAGCCCGTAGTAAAGAGTGTTTTCAACTTAAGGGACACGCGTGCTCACTTCTTAAGCACAACTTGGGGCAAGCGACCCATTGTCTCGGGCCACTTCCCTTTCTTGAACTGGCTCTTTGCTTTTAGCCACACTGTCCACCAACTGTGGACTTACTTGATGTTTCTCTTGTACTTGACCGGCGCATGTCGCACTGACCCCCGGCTTGTCTGCTTGCAGCCATTGACACTATCCCTCTGATGGTAATGGCTCTTTCGAAGACACCCTACCTGGTTCGTCTTCGGTTTCTTTCATGCTTGCTCTTGCGCACTCAGTCTTGGCCTACTTTATGACCACTGACATGCGTTTCTTTCTTCTTGCGGCTTACTCCGCACTTGGCTTCAAGATAGCTCCACGACTTATGGGAGCATCATTAAACGCTGC